TCATCATCAGCCAAGTGCAACCACTAGACAGGATGTGTTCCGGCTGGTAAATGGATGAGTTTTTCAGCTACTGCGAGGGCTCTTCACCCTGTTTGGCCGCTGATTAAAACAGAAACAACAAAATTAAGCAAAAATTTGCATTTTAATACAAAAATGCGACGAAACATTTTTATTTTAATTTTTTGGAACTGGCTGGGGGAGCACTGTGAGACAAAGAGAGAAGCTAATAATTTTATCAGTGGCAAACAGTTGACAAAATCAGCATTTTTCAGGGGCTGAGGTGGAGTTTCAGCTGTGGGGGGAAATGGAGAAGTTGGGCATAGCCAGGAGCTGCATCCGTTTAAATGAACTGTTAAAGCGGCCACGCAGCAAGGACATTTGTCTTGGCGCCAAGTCCAAAAGGGAAACTGCAGATTTTACGCGTGCTTTTCTTTCGGCAACGGGGAGAGGGCGGTAGCACTCTATGTATAGCGTGTGCTTTAGAGATTATTAATCATCTTTTGTGCGTATCTTTCACTTTTCGTATGCCTCATTGCTGGCGTGCCCCATGCCCCATGCCCCAAATGCCACTTTTTAACTTCTTTTTGCGTTTTAAGAAAGTTCGCCAGGATATCCTTTTCTATGAAACTGATTTTGTCTTTACGTGGGCGCTCTTTATTCTTGGTCCTTAGATTTCAACATGGCTCTCATGAATTTCAGTTCATAATTTACTTGATTTACATATATATTTATATATAAATGCTCAAGTTAATTACGTTTTTTAGATGCTCCTTATAGATAAGAATTAGCAACCACTAATTAACTTTATATACACATTTAAGTGAGGATAGTTGAGGTACATTCAAAGACTGAATAGATACTTGCTTTTAATGTTTTGGGCTCACTCATTCGACTTATACTAAAATCATTTTAATTTAAGCTCAATCACATCTCGATTCTTCAGTCAAGCGGGGCAAAAGGAAATTTATAATTTCTGGATCAGAAATCATTTGGCATGATACCAGCAAAATGTCTAAGCAGAGCTCAGTACCCTTCAGCTATATGCGTATTCATATCTGATTTACCTTAGTTAACTGGCAGTCCAAAAAGCCAGCAGAATAGAAAAATGTTCAAGCTAACACCAAGGTGGGCTTCCAATTCGATTGGCACAGCAGCGGGCATGGCTGGAAAGGGTATTTGGCTGATTTATAAGTCCGGACACAGGCGCAACTACCAAATTGATCGAAAAATGCCGCACAATGCGACGTTGTTGTGGCTGTTGTTGTTGTTGCTTGCCCACCCGTGACCCACTGGGGTAGCCCCCGGCTCTCCTGTAACCCTGCTGCACTCAGCTGGTTGGCGTTGAGCTTAAAGCGTTAATTCGTAATTTATGTGTCACACAAATCGAAATTGAATGCCAAGCGAAATTATGGAATATTTATCATTTCACACGAGGCGCTGCCCAGAGGATTGAAAGGAACTGTTGCCCGTGCCTGTGCCAATGCCAACTGCACGATGGGGCAGGGAGAGCGGGACAAAGCCCATGCCACAGGAACGTTTGTCAATTCGAATTACGAATAACGACAAAGTGCGCTTAACTTATGTGCATGAGGATTGGTGTAAAAAGCGGGGAAAAAACTGCGAATAAAAAGAAAAGGGCTTGCCGCCATAAACTTGATTTTCCCCTCTACTGAGGAACGGACAATAAAGCGAGTTGCTCTTAGCCCGATCTTGTTGTGGCTCTGTTAACCGTAAAAACGTGAAATATTTATAAGGTTTGCATACTTGGCTCGAACTGCAGCTTTGATGCAGTGGCAAGTGTTAATTGGAATCAATTTGATAATCTCCCAGGGCACACACACACACGCACACACTCGATTTTTGTTGTGCTGAGTTCATGATCATTTCGCGGATGTGCGATTTTGATTGAAAATTAACGCTATGGGGGGCTGCGCCACGATTTGCCTTTGGCCCCATTGGCCCGTTACACTCCGCATAATTCAAATTGTATTAATTTAAATGCCAATTTATTGCCAAAAAATGAAGAAAGAAAACACCTCCATCCTTAAACGGAGCAGCGAAGCTGCCATAAAATATGACCATGCAAAAGTCCATTCGTGTAACTGTAACTGGACAGATTGCGTATAAATATTTTTGTATTATTATTTAGCAGCAATTACGAAAGGGAGAAGCTGGCAAGAACCTTAAGCTATAGTAAGAGGAATATCATCATTGAAGTATATATATATATTATTAGGGGCGTGGAGGGAAGCTGAGACGAATCTTAATGTATAGCTAGTTAAGCACTATAAACTATAGTTAGCAACTTTAGCTATATATTTTTGGGCTGAGAAGTTGTTGAAGTCCATGATTAAAGGACTCTTCGTTCTGGTGGGGTCCTGTATCTAATATTTTTTTAATAATTCAATATTTATTCCAATGGGAAATATATATTATTATATTTTTCTTTAGCTGCATGTGTTTGTTAAAATATTACAAAAGTTATATTATTATTAAAAATGTTGCTTGTAGAACTAAAGAGTTTAAAGTTCCGAGAGCTCTCTAAATTCTTTCTCTAAAAATCGATTTCATAAGTCAAACCCTTGCACTAGAAAGATATGATAAATACTATATATAAAAAGTATATATGAAAAATAAATAAAAGTGAATTTCCTTGAAGAATAAAATGGATAACATTTTAAATTTTAGAGAGCTGATTTTCGAAATAGCTCATTTTTTTAAACATTTATTCGTAAATTTCCTTGTTATCTGTTATGTACAATAAATATATACTCTAAAATATATACCCCTCCTGTGAGCAATCAGAATTGCCACCCATAACGTATCGTATTGTTGTTGTCCAATTGTTAAGCCACCCGCAATTTTTATGGTACTCAAGCAGAGCAAAATGTTGCACTGACATGTCAGGGAGCGCTGATTAACATATTATGCGACAAACTGCCACTGGACACGGCTTGGACTGTGTGTTTGTGAGAGAGAGAGAGAGAGGCATAACGAAAGAAAAAAAGAGACAGAGAAGCAACTGTGGCAATTCAACGCCTGTCACTGGCTGTTTGCACAGATAATTCACGCCAGCGCCAAAGCTAGATGGCGTCAGAGAATTAGAGACAGAGTTAGCGTTTGAGTTTGAGTCAGAGTCAGTCCCACACATAGCTCCAGCTCCAGCTCCAGTTGTGTAATTGAAAAAGTTGCCTGCGGGGGCTGGTCGCAAATATCTGAAATCTGTATCTGGCGATGGCTATCAATGTCGGCGATAGGTGAGCCACAGAGAATGTCGCCCCAGTCGCATGGGCCAATTAAGGGTTAAACATTTTGCATATGCAGCCGATGCCAGCACAGATTCTGTCTCTGATTTGCATAATTTTCGGCTTGCTATCTCGGTCTCACTCTTTGTTGCTCTCTGCGACATGCGCACGATACATTAATTTATGTGGCTCAAAAAGGAACAAAGTGGACAACGTTTGGTGTCCAATTTCATTAGGCACATCAGCGCCTTACACCCGTACTCCCCTACAACTCGTATCCCCTTCTCGGAAGTGCGCTTATGTTTTGTCTAACTGTCATTGAAATGTGTGTTCCCGTGTGTGTGTGTGTTTCCCTGTTTTGTCACATTACGAGAATTTACATAAAATCTATTGTAAGCGTATGAAATTGAATACCCCAAAGCGGATTCGGACATGTGGTCCTTTTTTTATGGCCGAGTGGGGGAAGCAGAAGGGCTTTAAGCATGATGTTTGCCTTTTGGACGCAGACGCAATTTAATAATTTAATTAGCAGACCGAACGGACCGACAACAGACCGTCTTGTTCGGTAATAAATATCTTCGCAATTTTCATAAGTCATAAATTAGGAAATGGGGAATTTGTTTTCCAATTACACATATTTCACACCGCATGCCAAAGACACAACAAATGAAAAGAAGAATGAAAAATCGAAATTGAATGCAATTTTCTATTTTAATAATTTATAACGCGTCACAGCCGCAGCAACAAGTACAAATTGTCAAAAGCGTTTTGCGTCTTGGCCAGGCCCACCCATGGCGCAGCGATGGCCCAGCCACAGGCATACGGTATTGGCCGCACTGCCTAGCCCGATCCTTGGCCCCGATGCATTGCCACGCGCTTTTAACGAGTCACAAATTCACGTTGCAATTGCCAGAGTCGACACAGTGAGCGCCCCATCGTAACTTCTCAGCCAAGCAACACTCAAGAGTGCTTGTGTGAGAGAGGGGAACTAGCCGCCAGGGGGCAGGGTGAGTTTCTTACCAGTTCATGGCTTGCCCACCCGCCTAGCCGTGGCAGCCACCCAACCAGCCGCTTATTTTTGCGTATTAACGCGCGAAATAATATTTTATTTTGACCATCGTCAAAGGATTGAAAAATGCCCACTAATATCTTTGGGTCTTTGTGACGGCTTTGTGCGGACCACTCTGTCTGCCAGACAGTGTTTATATGACTGTGTGTGTGTGTGTTTGCTGTTGTCTGGTGTTGCAAGCAACACACGGTAGTTATGCTTAGGCTTAACATATATCTCCTTTTGTGCTTTTAATTTGCTAAATATGTCATGGGAATTTCGAAAAATCAACAAAAACTTATAAATTATACAAATAGAGAAAGAGTATCCTTAAAATGTTTAAAAAATATATTTATTTTAAGTAAAGATGTGTTTTAATTTTTATGTTTTAAGAGTTCAAGAGAAGCTTAAGTTGTCTAACGGAGAGTGGTTAAGAACTGGTAAATGGCTCAAGTCCATATTTGCATGTTTCTTATATATTACAAGTTTAATATTTAATTTGAAAAAATTTATATAATAGGACTATTGACAATATATTTATATTTTTACATATTCAATCTACTTCATTCCTTGGTAGCACATACATCTTATTATATTTCATTATTTCTGATTTAAGTTTTCATTCATTATTTCATTACCCATCTGTAAATTGATATTATTTTTATTTAACAAAATACTATTATAATCATGATAATAACAAAGTTTCACATATTTTCAATTTGGTATATAACAAAATTAGTTGTGGGCAGTTAACACCACAAAGTGAGTAATTTTCTGCAATGGAGCGTGGTTAACTCTAGGCCTTAGTATATGTTTGCAATTTAACTAATTTTGCATAACTCATTTACAGCTCGTAAAGATCATAATTTGAAGTACGAAATGTAGTGCGCGGACACACCTTCGATTCTTCAAGCTGGATTCCCACGTTTTGCAGCTCCGCGGAACGAATCAATCATTTGCCTAGCCAGCTTTGGTCAAGGGGCTTATGCGGGGTTAGCTACAAAATGATTGCCAGGCATGCAAAATAGTTGCAACCGTTAAGTCTGGCACAGCCTGCGATGGAAGGTGGCAACACCGGGCATTATCTGGCCAATTGGTCACAAAATCTTAACACCTACAGCGAGTCCAAGGCTGTGCTGCGATCATCGAGAGAAGATCATCTGATCAGAGATGATCACTCAGTGGCGGCCATTAAAGTCAAATCATTTTTCACATTTAGATATTGGCCGCGGGGCAGGCACACAGAATCGCCCCTACTCCATCCACACCCTCCACCCTCGCAAACAGTCGGCACAATTGAAGGCAACTCCGAATCGATCCATCCCAAAATTGCCACGATCACGATTTGGAGGAAATATGTTCAACTGCAGCTCTGTCTGAGTCGCTTACATAAAAGTAATCAAATCAACACCTTCATCAACTCCTTTGGATACGCTGAGCCCAAACCGCAGAAAATGCCTTCCTTATTATGCCCTGAATCAGTTGAAAATAGTTAAAAAGGGTATTCCGTTTTTGGGAAAGAATATGTAATATGTAAATATTCAATATATAATTTCTATATTTACCCAATTTCTATGGATTTTAAGCATAAATTTTAGAATACCCCTTTTAAGTTTACCTAATTTATATTTATATTAGCTTTTCGATTAACACATATAATTTATATAATATATATTATATTTAGGTATTGGGTATTTTCTGGTAGAGCATACCCGACTAGAGCACTCTTAGTTGTATTATGCTCTGGCAATTTGAGCTCACGGTTCGAATCGCAGAGCAATCTTTTATTTTTTTCCTGTACTTTTCGGCTTGTTTCGGTGGCGATCGCCTGTCGATCAAATTGTTGTTTTCGATATCTAATTTGTCATTCGGCAAAAGGCAACGGCAGCGACAGCCCACAAGACAGGCGCAATTTGTTCATGCAACCAACTGGCAACTGGCAATGGGGCAACTGGCAACACGCTGTCTGCGTTGCACGATCCTTTCGAGGTTCGATGCTTGCAGCAAAGTAGGGAATCCCGGCATTATGTGCGACGATTATCTTGTCGGCGCGTGAAATTTCGTGGCGTTGAGGAATTGACCTGCAATTGATACCAATCCATGGCAATCCATTACAGAGGCTAAGCGCGCGAGCTGCATGTCTCATTATTGGCAATTTTGGAGCAGTACGAGGTAATTGCCCCATGCCCATGTCCAAGCCCATGCCGAGGGTCATTTGTATAGAGGTCGCGCCTAAGCTGAAGCATGACTGGAGCATTTATTTTGCAGCTCATGCACAAATTATGATATGTGGAGAGACAGTGAGAAAATAGAAATTTGTATAAGCGGAGAAAGTGTGCGAGCTAGAGAAAGAAAGAGATTAAGTGAAAAGGATTTCTAGACCAAAACTCTACTAAGTTATTTTTTGTATTTTTATTAAGTAAAATTAATTTAACTGACATTTTATTTCCATATCGAAATTATCAGAAACAAACCGAGTTTCTTTTCGTTTCAACTAATTAATACTTAAGTATATATATACTAAATATTTTCGATGACAGCAAGCAACATGTTTCTATAATGCGGAAATTTCATGTTTTGCTGTACTTTATGAATGTCAATTCACACACACACACAAACGCACATGTATATACACAGACTTGCACACACACACATTCGCATTATCAACTCTGATAAGGTTAATATATATAAGTACTTGATCTAGAGTATATAGCTATAGCTGAACTTGGTCAGCTCTACTTTGTGTTTGTATATTTCAATTTATTTACCATTCGGTTGACATTTATTATCAATTAATTTACAAAATTCGCACCTCGATTATTTATTTACACGCGCTCGTGCGATGCTTGTTCAATAAGTAACTGTAGTGATTCAATTATTTTATATATAGTTTAATATTATTTACAAAATCTTTTTGCTTATCAATATCAATGCACACATACCTGACGATGAACGAAAATGATGAAAATGTATTTTAAATATTTTAATATAATTTTTTTGATAACGTTAAATTTTTTATACTGTTTTACTTAATTCTTTGTACAAAACTTTGGCTGCAGTTGCTCAAAATATATTAATAAAAGATAAAATGTTAAAGACTTCAAATGAAATAATAATACCAATAGTTCTGCCAAAAAAAACCTTTCCGTAATGTTGAGCTCTCATTTCATTGATATGGATTACCGATATACTTCATTCACATAAGCCACAAAAAGAAAATCGTAAAGAAAACAAGAAAGAAATTTCTTTTAAAAACGCAATTTTTATTATTATAAAATATATAAAACGTTTATATTTATACATATAAATAAAATAATGCTTACTCTAGAAGATCGTTTTAAACTGAAAACTTGCACTGAATTGGTATTGCCCGCATTTGTTTTTCTTTTAGATTTGTTATAAAAAATAAAAAATTAGCTAAATTTTGCATTGTAAATTAATAAAAATAAAATTTGTATTTTTTGTTTAAAGTTTGTGCCACTTCTTTCAGACATGGCTTGGAGCAGCTGAGAATTCGATTTTCATAATTTCTTTATGATATTTGATTTGATTTTTTTCTTCTACATTTTACTTAAAGTAAAATAAAGTAAAAAAAATTGCTAAAGCACACACAAAATATAATTGCCACACATAAAGTAAAAATATATTTTTGGTATAATTCTGCAAACCACTGGGAGATTAGAGATTAAAGTACACTATTGAACGCATAGAGCTATGTAGTTATAGCTGTCTAAATATAAGTGTATATATATGTATATATATATATATATATATATATATATATATATATATATATATATATTCTACAAGAAATACATAAATATTTTTCCTAACATACATTTACATTTGTCTTTTTGTGTATTTTTTTCGTTTTTGTTTTTCTTCTGAGAGGGTATATAAAGAAGTTTACTTTAGTTTAGTTTTAATTTGCTTTAAAATTAAGTAGAACTCAGTGCCTTTAAATATTATACAGACATATAGTAGAACTGATGGATGCCCGGAAATGAAAACTTGGAAAATCTCTCAACGTTAGACGTTTCGGAATTTTTTGTATTTTTTCATTCGACTTTTAACCAGGGAGCTGCATTGTATCTACAAGATACAAAACCGCATTTGGCTGTCAGTTGTGGGCGCCTAGGTGAAAGTTGAAAATTGTTTATGTACAAGTTACAACAACTAAAGGAGATTTTAAAACAATTAAGCTACACGATTCTCGTTTTTTTTACATTTTTCATTAGAGATTTTTTTGTGTTATTTTTTTTTTTGATTTTTCTTCAATATGCATAAATAATTACACTACTTGACATCCACATTGAGAGGAACTTCACTGATATCGATTAAATTTGGCGGCGATGGCAGCGACTGTTGCTGCTGCTGCGGCTGCTGTTGTTGTGGCTGCTGCTGCTGCTGCTGTTGCTGCTGGGCTGTCGCGACGGCCGTTGCTGTCGGTGTGGACGATGCCGATGACAGCGAGCCCGCTGAGGACGAGGAGGAGGAGGCCATGACCGCAGCCGTGGCCAGTTGCTCATGGCTGTGGCTATTGCTATTATTGCTGCTGCTGCTGTTGCTTGTACTGGCCAGCAGCAGTCGCTGGTGGTGTTGTTGCAGGCACTGATTTGCATTGACAGCGGCCGCGGCCATCATCATAGTCGCAGCATCGCAGTAATTAGACAGCATTGTTGTTGTGCTCACTGTCGCTGGCATTGTTGTTGTTGTTGCAATTGCTGCTGCCGCAGCGGCTGCTGTTGCTGGTGTCACATATGCAGCAGCCGCTGTTGCATTGGCAATATAATCGCTGCTGCAGCCGGCGCCAAGCAAACCGCTGGCGTTCATGTTGCTGTTGTTGCTGTTGCTGTTGTTGTAGTTGCTGATTTGCTGCTGATTGCAAACGCTGTGGATGCTGTTGCCGCTGTTGTTGCCGCCGTTGCCGTATGTTGCATGCATGGCAGCAACATTGCCGTGATCGTGGCTGTGATTGCCAGCAGCAGGAATGCCCCCACACCCACCGCCAATGACGCCGCCAATGTTGCTGTTACTATTGCTATTGCTGTTGCTTGTGATGTTGTTGCAGGGATTGATGTTGAGCGTAGTGTTGCTATGATTGGCTGCCACAGCGGCCGCCACAGCTGCGGCTGATGATCAAGTTGTTGTCAATTGGCGCCACATTGTGTGTCACATCGAAGGCAGATAGGGCCAAGAGAAACTGTTGCCGCTCAGCAACATGTCGCGTATCAGCGTTTCGATTGGCGTTTTGCCGACTAGACGCACAAAAAACAACTGCTCAATGACCTGGTTAATTGAAAAGACAACAAGAACACGAGCAAACAAATATGCATAAGTATTTTAGGTTCTTTATTCACTTACGCTATACTATTAAGAAGATGCTTCTAGCTATTCTAAGTGACGTTTTATTTACTGATTCGATTCTACTTACTTGTGAGGAGACGGTACGTAACGATGGCAATCTGAGTAGTAATTTGCCAAATCTCGTGGGCTGATTGGGATACTGCGTTCGACAATATTCCTCCAAAGCGCACTGAGACTTCTCTTGCAGGGATTCAATATGTGTCACATCCGACAGACCGCAGGCATCTAAAAACACATAACAAAACAAATTCATAATTAGTGAAAATTTCGAACCAGGCGACAATTTCTTGTATACGCAAATGGTTTGTGTGCTTATGCAGTTCACCTGGCGCTTAAATGGCTTACAATACGTATCCGGCGAATGGGTTTCCAGCGTTAGCGTCAAAATGTAACTCAACATAAATTAAGGCCACGCCCACACACAACAACATCAATAATAACTGTAGCTAGAAAATGGCACATGACGGAATTACGTCACTCGCATGATTTATGCCCAATTGGGGACTTGGACTCGAAGTCGAACAAGAGGCCGTTTAATTAAATTTACGAAAATTATACTAAGCGGCAACGCCCCTGTGGACAAAGGCCATAAACAAGAGGGAGTAGAAGTGAGGGGGCGGGGTCGGCTGAGGAGATTTCTTCGCTATGTTGTTGACTAGTTGTTAAAGCTAAAGACATTGCGCATACGCAGCGTGTGCCGTCAAGTGTTAATTGTCAGCGACACAAAAGTTTGCTTATCAATATAAACTCTTGTGTGTGTCTGTCTATGTGTCTATGTATATTTTTTGAAATATTGTAAAACCACAACAACTTGTGCACACACGAGCTGTATATATGTGGGTATATTTGTCGTGCTGCGCCTATTTGAAATTCAAATTAGACATCAGCACTTGTAGGCATGCATAGCTTGAAGTATTCTCAATAGATGTTAAGAATGCCATATTCCATTTACTTAATTAGTCAGCCAGCCAAAACTATCTTTAGCTCAAAGTATGGTCATCAAGTATCTTTTGCACATTACGCAAAATTTACAAGTGGCATTTATAACAGTTTTTTCATCTTTTTTTTTTTTGCTATCGCGCAGCTGGTTTGCTGCTTAATGAATTGGCCATTTGCTGACTTTGTGGGCAATCGGCTGGCCATCGCTGGGTGTCCAACTCGTCGTCAAGCGTATCCGATTGCAGTGTGAATTCAAATTCGAATTCAAATTTGAATTTGAATTTGATTGCATTGCATTGCAAAATGCCAGGTATGGGACGTAATGTGTCGTTTAAATGTCTCGCATTTCAGCTCTTTGAATTTCATTGGTCGTAGCTGTCTTTAGCTGCACGCAAACCCACTTCTGGTTGCCAACTGTCAATTGAAAGCCAATACATTGAGTCACAATGTAAAATGAGTCAAACAAATTGGCAATAGGTTCATTAGAGTTAACTCGTCTGGTGGCAAAGCTAACTGATCGCTAACATATTCACACTTATGCGATAAAAATTGCGCTATAGCTGCCTGAGCAGCTCATAAAGTTGTGCGACGATATATTTAACGGGAAATAAAAGAATTAGTTATTGATTCATAGCTCTTTAAAATGTTTGCTTTGAGTTTTTAAGCTAAAGAAACTGACTTCGATTTAAAATACTTTTTACCTTAATTTTTCAAGAACTTCATGTGAAGCGTTTTCTAAACAGCAGACGTCCAGTGATATCTTAGAATTTACTTAAATGATAAATAAATAAATAATAAAGGCTAACAAGAATTTTAAAAAGTTTCTATATAATACTATAATACTTAATTATTGCCTTAAGCAGAACTTATATTAATTATTATCGCTAAAAATCTACAGTTTAATTTTTATGTAAATTTATTTTTAGCTTGAGTGTGTTCAAAATTTATTCGTTTTGGAAACCTTTGCAATATATATTTAACCAAGTCTAGGGCTCTCCAAATCTTATATTAGAACTTGTATAAAAGTCGATAACTGCCTTCTGTGCAAAGTGCAATAATAAACAAATCTTAAATGCTCAAAAAATGTTTACATGCATTTAACTAATTTTCTGTCAATTGCTAAGTGAATAGTCAAGCTTAGATATGCCGCAAAGCTTAATAAAAATAAATAAAAAATTGCATATAATTAGAAGGAATTTCGAGCTGACTCACAGAGCAGTTAATAACTATTTAAGATACGGCAAAGACAAAGTGAACTGCGACAAGTAAAGAAACTCTGCATGCTGCATTCAGGCCATTTCCAGTTGGCCCACAAAGTAAACAAATCATAAACAAAACTGAACGTTAACTGCAATGTTGGCTTAAAGGCCGGCTCGAAGCACACAATGCGCGTAAATCAAGATAAATGATTTGTCGCCAAAGGCAACAGAAATTCAATTAGCCATTATTAACCATTTCATTTCATAAACAACCAACAACCAACAACAACAATCCGGCAATAATCGTGAAGTTACAAATTAGATTTGGCCAGTTGGGATTGAAAAGCTGAGCGAATCATTTCACTTGGCCATGGTCAATAATTGTCAATTGACTTTGGCCATTAGGTTTTGATGATCCGGAGCGCAGGCACCGACAGCGAATATCATAAAAGAAAACGAGTCCAGAGGACATGAGAAGCAGAAGAAGCAGCAGAAAAAACGGCTACAATTCGAATCAATAAGCCAGTCAAGCAAAAATTTTATTTTCATTGAAATGCAGCAGAAGGCGACGGAGTGAAAGAAATTCCAGTTTGTGAATTTGGCCAAAAGAAATGCGGCTCGATGCCCGCGAGCTGCAGCTTTCTCGGGCATTTGCAACGGGCTGCGGCTATAACTATGGCTTAACTTGGCTTTGATTTTTGGTTTTCGGTTTTGTATTTTTTTGCTTTTTTTGGGGACTTTTGGTTGGACCTCTGCCTGGGCTGCCTTCTGCGCAGTTACTAACTCAGCGCGGAGATCGTGACCGCGTGTTTTAAATGCATAATGACCGTAAAGTAGTTGATGTAACTACGTAACCGAATTGTGCTGCCAATAACAACAACAACAACTGCAACGGCAACAACAACAATAACAAAAACAGCAAATGCAGTTACAACAACATGCATATCGAATACGGAGCAGATTTTGTGGCTGTTGCTGTTGTTGGTTTTTTGGTCACACAAGAACGTGGCACAGGCTCCGCCTCAGCCTGCTCCGTCCCCCATCCCCCAAATCGGAGCAAAGTAAAGGTTAAGCTGTTTAACCAAAAATTATGAATTGCTGCATTATATTTTATTATATAGTTTTTATGGCCAGCAACTAGTACGTTGTTGGACTTCGTGTCTGCCTTGGTAACAGTTATAACTTTATTTAGTTTTAATAAGCATTAGGAAAATGCAAGAAGAAATAAGTAACAAGACAAACGCCCGCAGATATGGCTCGAGCCTTTGGGATGGGTTCATGTGAGGTCAGCTATGAATTTATAATCGAGCACCATTTGTAAAAGTTGTTGTTTGGCCAAAATATACAAGAAATGCAACATAAAAATGGCAGGTATTTGCTTGGTGACAGTCTCTGACATAGATTCGGAACACGAACAGAGAAATGTCTGAGCTGCAAATTTAAATAAATATTATGAAAGGAAACGATCAATCGAGTCTTTGGCTAGAAGAGAAAATGTAAAAATATATCAATGAAGAGAGATACGTGTTTAAGGAATAGAAGAGATAGATAATACCTGGTAGCAGTACGAAAATATCAAATAAGACTTAGAAGTGAGAAATAAACATTCGAATTTTAGTCAGATATTTTTAAGGCATTTTATAATATAAAAAAATCAATGTTAGGATCAAATCAAATTCCTGTTCAACAACCTGAAAAATAACTTTTATTATTAAGTACATTTAGCTCATATTGTAAAGCAAAGCCTCGTGCTATTTTGCCGAAGCAAATTGAATATCTCGAGAGTTTGATCGAAGCTAAATCTCGTATCTAGGCTTAACTGATTGAAAATTTAAGCTATGAGCGCGTGGGGAAAGGGAAGAGAGGCTCAGCCAAAGTAGGAAAAACGCGCCCAAAAAATGATTCTGATCAAAGAGAGGTCTCTGTGTACGAAACTGTTAATTACAAGGCACAAAGGCACGTCTGTGGCAATTTTCGGAAAGTAGCGCAGGCGATCAATGAGCACCCACAAAACGATTTGGGCATCAGCAGAGAAAAAGAGCATCAGCAGAGCCAGACTCAGATGCAGACCGACAGACACCGACACTGGCAGAGCCAAGGCACAAAGGTTGGCCAAAGCTAAAACCAACACAAAATGTTGGTCAAAAAGTGTGGCTAAGACATGAAAGCTACAACTCTTAACAACTGCAACAAACGACAGCAATCAGGCAGCTAGAGTGTAGAGCGAGAGTGGAACGGGTGGTGCGCTGAGGTAGACGTGGCCACAACCAGATTGGAAGATGCACCACAGAGAGCTCGGGCAGACATGTCGTCAACGTGCCGCCGCCTGGCTGCAAGGCAGCAGGCAGAAGATCGACTAAGTCTCTACCCGGTATTTTACTACTGCGATCGTGTCTATCACAGAGAGGGGCAAGTGCAGGGGCTTGCACTGCAGCGATTGATCGGCTGCAGTTTATGGACTCATGCAGCCAATTCAAATGCAATTGCGCTGCACAAGAGTCAGAGTTGGCGTCGCAGTCGAACTCAAACTCGAAGTCGAAGTCGAAGTCGAAGTTAAAGCTCGAAGAGTCGAAGCTCTGGCAACACGAACTCGCGACGCCCCCTCACAATGGACCCCAGCCCAAAAGCCCAAAACTCGACACACACAGCGTTTTGGAAATTGGAAAATTATTTTCATGGCTGTGGCTGCAGCTAGCTGGACCTGGCCGAGGAGCAGCCGTTGCGGCTTGTAAGTAAGCGACATAAACGAGTGTTGTATTAATGTTCATAATGTGGTATCTCGACGTCAATAAACGTCGCCAGCTACAAACGGGCGAGGGACAGGGGATTGTGTGCAGTCAGTGTCGCAGATCGAGGACAGCTGCTTGACAAACCGAACAGGCCAAGCAGCGCACACATGGGCGGCGTGCCGAAGGGGCAAAGCGGAGCTAAACTGAGCTTGAGTTGCAGTTGAATGCATTGCTGCATTATTTGGCCACTGTAAATGGACAATGGGCAGATAAGCGTGGCAGACAAAGCAACAGCTGCGCCATCGTCGCAGCTTCGACTTAAAACGAAAACTTTAACTTAGTTTAGTTTATACTTAAGCTTAACTTAGACAAAATAAATATGCAGCTTTTATAGTTCAAACAATTAATATTTGCATACAAATATTCGAATTTATTTCGGCTAAAAACGAAAATAAATATAAATAAATTAGAAACAAACATTAAAATTAAGCCATGTGCCAAATTAGTTTGAAAAGTTTAATATTTATGCAAATGTGCTTATTATATGAATAAATGCGTATGTGTGTGTGTTAGGCGTATGTGTGTGTGTTTGTTTCCAAAGTCCAGATCGTGTGTGCCATAAATGTGTGTGTGTGCGAAGCAGCTTTGTGTGATTTTTTGATGCTTTTGTTTAAAAATAAAAATGCAAAATTAGTAATCGAAAAATAAAAATGAAATGCAGTTTAGAAAATTATGAAAGCAGCCAGTTATTAGGTATTCTAATTTTAAGAGCTAGCTGCTTTCATAGATTTCTATTTTATATAACGAAATTGTCATATGAATCGGATATTATGGAATGAGATTTTTTAAATTACCGATTCATTAACAATTTCCACTTTGCTAGAGACCTTAATCAGTTATTGATTTTTTTATTTTTCATCATTTTAAGGTTTCACAGCTATAGAATATTTTGATCTGAAATTTTAAATTCAACTTTCAAGTTCCATAAAGGACAATCAATTGGTTTTATTATCATTGAGCCAATAAATATTTCTTGATAATAAAGCGAATTGATCATCTAAAAATAAAAAGAATAAAATCATAAAAATGTTTAAGTGAAGGAACACAATTTCAATACTTTCTAATTTTCCTTTTTACTGAGCTTAAAATTAGAAAATAAAGAAATTGTATGAAAATTTAAAAAATACGAAACTAAATATATTTAAAATTTTTTAGAAAGTCTAGAAAGTAAGAGATGAAATAAATAAAAAATATTAAATATAAGAAATTTTTAAGTTATAATTTTCTCACGTATTTTGTGGATATAAAGAATTATTGAAAATATTCAAATATTTTATAGGCAAGGTTTATACTACTTTATCTGTATATTGAAATGATTTTCAAAAAATATTTTAAAGCAATATTTAATTACGAATGCAAAGAATCTCTGCTGGCAGAAAATAGTTTTCTACAGTCAAAACTTTAAATCAAAATTTCTGGAGTTAATATTAGTAAAAGAAAGGCTGAAATAATTGTTAGTTGTTAACTAAATAAAAATAAGCCAAATATTAAGTGTAAGTAAAAAAACAAAATAAAACGCTTAAAAGTAGTCAACAGCGGCTTAGAGAATTAGTAACAAATGGAACAAGTAAAAACACAGGTTAGGATTAATTTTTTGTTTAACAGCAACAGCAGCGTATATTCTTAACTTCTTTCTACTCTTCTCGCGTCAGCTTCTTCTTTCTTTGTTTGTATGTCTTTTTGGCAAAGTTTTTGCTAAGCTAGATTACTTTAATTTAGGACTTAGTTTAAGGCAATAAATACATAAGCAATAGGCACTAAATTTAACTTTACAATATATAAATAGTTTAAGTACTTCATAGATAAATAGATAAGATACAGATACATAAGCTAAGCTCAGCTGTAGAGCTGACTAAACTGAACGACTGAGACTTGTAAGATAGGAAGGTAGGGAGGTAGGGCTTCGGGTCTACAACTGCCATCTACTGCCCGCTAGGCTATATGGCGAATATCTATAGCTGGGACTACCGAAGTTGGCGCCGCTGCCGCTGTGAGCGGCCGCTGCAGCCGCTGCCGCCGCCGCATGGCTGACGCCGAACGGTGTGCTGTGATGGAACATATCAAAGGCCGAGCCAAAGGCGCTGCGCGGCGGCGTCTGATAGAACATGCCCGCCGGCGTCTGATATGCTCCAGCCAGCGAGCTGCTCGTGACGGGGGCAACAGCGGATGCGGATGCGGATGCGGATACAGAGTGTGAGGCACTGGCACTGTGTGTGGATGAGGCGCTGTGAGAAGGTTGTGTGGGCAGCGAGGCGCCCAGGCCGCTGCTATTGCCGCTCGAATCGCCGCCGCTACCGCCACCGCCGCCGGTGCCATTGGAGCTGGCGTACAGCGCGGCCAGCAGATCGACTTCAGCATTAGCATTGGCACTGGGCTTGGCACAGCTGCTGAATGCGCTGCCGGCAGAGGGCACAACGGGCAAAGCATGAGCAGCAGCACCTGGATCGGTCTTAAGTTGGCTGGAAGTCAGCGACGGTTGCTGCTGCTGGTACTGTTGCTGTTGCTGCTCTGCCTGCTGCACAGCAGCCTCAACGCCCGCCACGCTCTTCATGAAGGTCGCCAAATGGATTGGCGCTTGCTGCAGCTGCGTTTTAAGCTCCAAGCGATTCAGCTCATCGAGATGTTCACGCACCACGGCCATCACATCATCATTGCTACAATCGCTGGAACTGCCAGCATCCACACGCTTGCCAAGCAGTGCTGAAACTTTGGTTAGCAGTGCGGGCACATCCTTGTATAGGATGTCCAGCAACTTACCGGTGGTGAAGAGCACAATTGCCTTGAGGCAGGAGTATTCGGCCGAGTCGACATGCAGCGCCTTCAGCTTCTCCACCTGCTCCTGGAAGATGCGTATGTGATCCATGAATGCAACCACACGATCCGCTGCCATCGGTGAGGCGTGCAGACCCGCAGCAGCTAGCAACGGCGCCACATGCAGTGGCATCGAGCATTGGCTGGCATTCAGGACGAACAGCTCCGACCAGACAAGACGCAGCAATGCCACCTGATCGGTAACCTGGAGCTCCGGAAAGAAGGGTATATTCTTGGCCCATTCAACTGCGGAGAAGAGCAGCCTTGCAGCCAGCTCACAGATGTTGTCAATGCCCATAATATTGTTGGGCTGCAGGCACTGGCCGTAGCGGGATGTTGGATACGGCTCGGCGCGCAGCAGCAGCGAGATGTAGGAACTGAGGTACGAATGCCCATTGAAACCGGCCATGCCCATTGGATCGCCATTGGCCAATTGATACTGGCCGTGCATGCCAGCTAGGCCGGGCTGTGTGGGCGGCACGCGGCCACGTTGAACAGCTGCAAAGAATCAGAAAGAGAGAGAGAGAGAGAGAAAATTTAGTATATGTATCTGCATTTGAGAATCTGTATATGAATGTGTGTATATGTGTATCTATGTATCTGTAGCTAAGTAATTCAATATGCGCGCTCTTTTGTACGCTTATTTTGACCGCGACATCACACGCCACACAATGTTGCCCCATTCAACGTTGTTGGCAAAGCTGCCACAACGCACAATGCCTATCGGGCACCTCAATCTCAGTCGCACTCTCCTAGACGCTGCGCTGCCCTTTTGTTCTGCAAGCGACAACGTCATAAGATACTTTTCTCGGCTGCGACTACCTTGAGCCTACCCTGAAAACCCTTTTCTTTCTTTCCTTTATTTTTTTTAAATAATTTCAATGTCGCAGTCCCTTGCAACCCCCTTGTTGCCACAACTGCTTAGATATGCAAATTTAACTAAATACTTTCAACGCATCTTTTAAGATACAACAGCACGTGAGAGAGTGTGAGTGTGTGTGTGTATGTGCGAGTGTGCGTGTGTAACTGTTGAACAGAACTTAAGCCTAAAATGTGTAAACAGAGCAGAAGCAAAAAGTTAGTTCAATAACAGTCAACAGCTGGTCGAATTGAGACCAAAAGCTCAGCTCAGGAGAGCATAGAAAAGGCGCGAGAGAGAGAGAGGGAGAGAGAGACAGGCGTGGATCAAAAGCTCAGCTGACTGCTGCTGGGAAATACTTCGAAAGCTCATCAACTGATTAAAGTGAAAGAGCTTTTATTTAGAGTTTGGGGTTAGACTTACTTAAAAGTTGCGCCCGAGCAAATCCTGTCACCAGAAAGAGAGACAGGTTATGAAAGAGAAAGAGAGAGATAAAGAGATTACTGATTACTGAGTTGAGAGGCAAATGAACACAAAAACTCAACCTTGAGAGCGCTATAAATCTGAGCCGGTTATAATTGGCGGAAAATGCCTAAAGGATATTGAGTTCGCGAACTAAATTATGATTATTACTAGAAATTACCAATTAGATAATTGAGAGTAAAAGCACAAGAAAAGGATCGAATTCCAAATGAAATTCGTTGCGATTTTAAAGTCTTCACGAAAAACTTAGCTCTCATGTCAAATGGTTTTTAGGGTGCGCTGGCAGGCTCGTAGGATAAGCACATTCCTTGTGTGTGAACTTTGAACTGCAAGGTTCCCTTGCATTAGGTATAGGTACGAAGTTACACCTGCATAGGATTAAAGCACAACTCGAGACAATTTTTTAGGGGCTTGGCCGAACGCATTCGATACAAATATTTTGTTATGAAAAACAATGGAGCATTGCGCGTTGTTAGTTGAGTGTTATTGGCAAATGTGGGTTAGCAAAGGCTTTTTTTACACCTTCAAATATGAGGTACACACCTAGACGTCGTCATATGCACCACACCTAACCCCACTCGAAGAGCTGGAGCAACAGGCTGGGCTTCAATAGAAATAATCAAAATAAAAATATCGCAAAAAATGTTTGGCCCAAGGCGCTGAAAAGCAAATAAAGCTAAACATGATTATTGATCGGGCCAAGTGTTCGGCACAGCCATTGTCTAAGACCCAACAAGCACACACACACACGTTTATACATACACACACACGCACACAGCTGTCTAGGCAAAAGTAACGTCTTTTGTTCAAGCGAAAAGCGAAAGCATTTTGGTCAGCAGACAAATGAAAAATCCTAAGAGAAACACACCGAGGACTTGGACCAGGGTAGGGTATTTGTTTATTGCTTTACGCAAGCAATTAAGTGCACGAGGGGGTTGCAGAACCGGAACTGCCAAACATTTGACCACTGTCCAGCGCCGGACGAGACAATTATTTATGAAATACATTTGCGTAATTTGCGCAGGCAAAACGCGGCTGATCCTCAGCGGATCTGTCCAGGCAGGCAGGCAGGCAGGCAGACAGCAGAAGACGCGGCAAACCGGTCTCTCTTGGAGTCTCTTGCGGCCATCTCTTTCACTCCTGTCCAGTTGTTGAGCCGAGGCTTATTTATGCGCCTGGGAAAATATATATTCCACACTGACCACAGTGACTCAAAAACTTGCCAGACTGACCGCAACTGCAGCGCAGCGCAGCGCAGAGCAGATCAACAGCAACGACTTAAGCAGATAACGCAGCAGCCAGCAGCAATAACAACAACAATTCAAAAGATGAAGAGCGAGAAGAGCTGCTCTGAGTAGGAGAGCAGCAGCGTCTGCTTGGCTTGGCTTGGCTTGATTACTTAATGAATGAATTCTGTGGGCCAGCACGTGCTCAAGTCTCAACTGCGCTTTTGTTTCTTATTGTTGTTTAAGCCTTGCACTTATGTAATCGATAAACGATATACAAGTCATCGAGCCATGTCAAGCAGCCAACAACACTCGAGCGCGTGTCCAAGTGGCCCGCAGCTAATTGTGGTCAAGTGGATAAAGTCTCTGAGTGCCGCAATCCGTCTAAATCCGTGCCGCAAGGGCTCGATGCATCTATGAAAATATCATTTCCGGCCTCAGGTTCAAAAAGCCTTTCACTCTATGCAAATTCGCGCATTAAATATTTGCCTTGCTTTTAATGTGCTTTACGGTCGTTTTTTAATGTTCTGGTTGCTGTTGTTGCACAGCTAAAATTTCCATTGTTAATTATAATGCCCGGATGATATAAGTTGCTTTCAGTGTCTGTCTAATTTGAGCGTGTCAATTGCATTTCAAAAGTTTTGTTTCATATAGAAAATGTTTTGGTTTTGCTCAAAATCAAAGTCAAATTGGAATTTTATATTAATTTGCTATAAGATCTGAATGTTTCTTAGAAATATATATATATTCGCAGTTGGAATAAACTTAGTTTTTTTTTATTATATATATAAATAAAATGTTATTTCAAAAGAGAAATTTGGAATTTTTTTCAACTTTCAATTTGGAAGATTATACATTTTTGAGCATACTATAAAGAATGTTGTTTATGTTTCTTGAACTTTTTCCATGATAACCCTACATCACAAACGTATCTCTCGATCAGCCCAGTTCAACCCTCGTTTCTGTAGTTTTGCGACCAGTTGCCTCATTTCAAGTTCAATTTTACAGTAAATTCGTTTAGTTTTTTTTCTTTTTGCTGACAAAAAAATGCTTTTTATAAGCGGAAATTAATTTCCCTAGCTCAGCCCCTGGGCAGAAACAAGTTACGGCACAATTTGTTGTCCAGTTCGCTGACCCAACCTCAGCCCGGGTCCAGTCCACCCCGTCCAATTGACACTGCAATTTAATTAGAGCGACCTTCGTGCCTTGATTTTATGCGCTTTTTCGGGTTTTTTGCTGTAGAATTGCTTGACCAGGTCTGCCAAGGCATAACCTTTGTGCCGCTTTTATGCTAAGTAGCGCCCAAAAAGAACGCACAAAAAGAAAAAAAGCGAACTGAAATTCTATGCAGAAAAGACATTTTCTCACGATTTCTCAGCTCTGATATAGGTTTTGGATTATTGTGAACTAGTTTTTACGCAGAACTTGTACATTAGGAAACGCCATGTGGAGAAGGGGGCAAAAGGTGCTGAACTCTTTTGCGTTTTATGATGATGAAGTTGACAAGTTGTTGTCAGTGACAGTGGCAGAGCTACAGGTAATCGCATGTTTAATGGCCAAACAGGTAGCCCACACCTGGGTTCACAGCGCTGTTCGTTAGCCACAGGCAACACTTGGTACTTGGCCTAGCCAAAAAGACTTTTGAATATACGTGTATTTAGACATCTGTCTTGTTTTTTATATTTTGGCTATAGGAAAATATCATTTAATATTTTCATGTGCGCAATAGCCGCGCTTAAATCAATGTTTAGATACATTTAATTACAATGGCAGTGGCTGTAGCTGCATTTTAATTGCCTCGTTCTTAACCCAAATCACAACATCTGCTGCCGTCAGAGCAGCACCAGCGGCAGCGGCGGGGGCTATTAGCATTTTGCGAAAAACCTGTCAATATTAGTGCAAATAATAACAGCTTTGTGCAGCAGCCGGACAGGTCTCTCTATACATATATCTCCCTCTCTCTGGGCCAGACAGTTGTTAATTGTTAATGCCGACAACTGCAACTAGGCAACCGACCAACCAGTCAAGCAGTCACTCGACCAGTCAGTCAGTCAATCAGTCAATCACACAGTGAGTCAGTCAGCCAGTCACCCAGTCAGTCAGTCAGTCATTCATTGATCGATTCACAGTGGCGTCTGTCAATTTGTCGTCGTTTGCCAATTTGTAAACAAAAAAAAAAAACATTTGTGGCTCAGCTATGCCAAATATTTGCGCTGTTGCATGCTGCCTTCGATTAAGTCAGCTGGTGCACTGCAAGAAATGATTAAAAATATACAAAATATTTGATGGAGTGTATATTTCTCGCCTGATTAGCTATAACTTCCTGTTGAGCTAGCACACGTCCATCATTAGGCTGTCGATGCTTTGGCTAGTTAACCTATAATTTTCTGTCAGTGTATGTCAGTGGATCTAATCGAATTAACTTTAATAAATCATCTGTGCCTCGTGGCTGCGTGCCGCAAGCGCCATAGAGTGAAAAAAGTGTCGACACACAAATTACAATATCGAGCTAATTCCTAATTCAGCTATTCAAGTATTCAAGTATTCAAGCATTCAAGTATTCAACTGTTCGCGTATTCGATTATTCGAGTACTCATGTTTTTTTTTTAATTATTAACCAACGAGCGAACAAGTTTGCATTTGATCTTTGGGGTCAATATGCTGCAGCCATAGCTTAATTGTTATTTTGTATACCCTGTACCATAAAGTGTGGCTAGACGGCCTGATGAACTAATGCAATAGTTGCTAACTTGGAAGAGTAGCCAAGAGGGCTTTCCTAAGATACCTTAAGTGTTCCATTTATTGAATATAGGGTATCTACTGGTTGAGCATACGCCAAAGGTCTTACCTTACGCTGATATTACTTTGTTGCTGGCTTTAATGTCGTTAAGGAACTTGGCTAAATGTCATGTGTGGAGTGGAGTTAGATATTGATAGGCAATGGAATATGACAATGAATGTACAGCTAATTGAGCGCCTATAATGCCGCGTATAGACGGATTATTAAGTTATCTAGAGGACTTCGATTAAGTAAGTATTTCTGAGAGTCTCAGCTTAATATAGAACTATGTTGAAGCTAAAAGATTGTAAACAACTTGGCTGTTGTTGGACTTTTGCGAAAAAGGTTCGAAGAGTCTTGTGATATAACAGCTGTTTCTTGTGAGTTATTTTGAGGACATGACCCGTTTTTTCGTTGAGGTTCTTTAAGCTCCGGCCTATCATCAAGTGGCACATTCTTTGGCACCTTGGCAGACCACTTGGCACAGCTAAAAGAGAGCAGCCCACACTTGTCAATTGTGTGTTGTGTGAAAATTCGTAGCATCTGACATTTAGTTGTCCCATTTATTGGACCGAACGTAACCCACATGCAGTCGAAAATCAAATTTGCTTTCGTCTGCAGTCGTGTTCTACTTCCGTTTTACGGCGTGGTTGTTGCTCATTGTGTGTGTGTTTGCCTTCGGTCTCTGCGCATTTAATTTATTTATGTATTTGCCTCACTGTTTGACTTTTAATTGACCCACAGCCAATGTAAGAAATTTCGTAGATCACCGTATGTATATATATTTATACTATATAAAGGGGACTTACCTTCACGTCGCATGCCCATTTTGAGGCACTTTTTCAAGCGACAATATTGGCATTGATTGCGATGATGCTGATCTATGGGACAGCTTCTGCTGCCCCGACACGAATATGTTAGATTGCGCCGCACGGAGCGCTTGAAGAACGACTTGCAGCCTGTAAATGGATATAGAAAAGAATATATATATTTTAGAAAGTGAAGAAATATTGGTAAATCATTGCTGAAATTGTCTAAATTTTTATATAAAGCAACGAGTGATGCACTCAACTCAAGTCTCTTCATAAAAGAGTTTACATATTTATGATCCCTCTTTCTCTCAGTTACACCTTCAAATGCTTTGGAACAAGCAAAACAAATTCCATGGCACTTTAATCAAATGGAAAAAAAGGGCAACAAAAATTGTTACCACTTGTAAAGCAAAGTATCCAAAGCGCAGAACATGCCACCAAATGCGGCAAGTTGCGCTTCACTTCATGACACTCGCAGTTGTTTGTCCTAGTCCTGCTATACGAAAGCCTAGCCCCTTCCAGGTGCCTCACTTGTTGGCCATGTCAATGGTCATGTTACACGTTTCATGGCTTAACGCCTTCCATAAAATTACCTTTAATGGCTTTCAATTAACAAAGTGTATCTGTGGGCACGAAGATACGACTGTCTCGAGCACTCGAGTAGCCGCCGTCTCGAAAAGAAGAGGCAGTGCCTCTTATATTGCTGGGCGGCTGCTGAATTTTAGTTTTTGGCTCCACGAATTTACTGTTAAGACTAAAGACTAGACAAGCTTGTTGTTGTAATTGTTGTTGCTGTTGTTGTTGTTGTGGGCAGCCATTAAGCACTCACTGATATAGTTGGAGCCCGTCGCGTTGTTTACAAGCTGCATTGCAATTTGATGTCGCCATCCAGCTAAACATGTGTATCACTTGCGTTGCCCTGCACCGCAGCCCACCTCCTCTTCATTGCCAGACAGCGAGCGTCCTGGTCCTGTTCGGCTGCGGGGGCCGCAGCCCGGGCCATGCCACACAAAATTTCTCACAATAACTCAAAACAATGGCATATGCTCATAAAATTCGTTTTAAGCTGTAAAATCATCATCAAACAAAATATGTTAGGCCCAGCCAGCATTGCAGTCACAGTCGCAGCCAAGTCTCGAGCTATGCGATCTGTGTGCTATAAAAGATTTTCAATGCGCGCTCCTGCCCAACTATTTAAGGAGCGGGGAGGCGATCGGCGCAGCGGCTGCGTTGCGATCGTGTGCACTAAAACGTGCCCAGGCACAGGGAACTTTAAGCTTTTGTCTTCAAGTCGATCAACAGATGCGCTATACTTGAGCTTTGAGCTGCATTGAAATAGGAATTGATGCAGACTAATGTAAAGTTTGATTAAAAGTGAGAGTGAGAAACAGATCTTAGATCTGCCACAGGCAGAAAATTTTAAGAATGCTTTGCTTGAAATTTTGAACGCAGCTATTTTGTAACTTTCTTCATCCACACATAGCTGAAGATAAGATGCCGGATCTGAGAGTAGCTGCATCTAATATGAGAAGGGCATGCCGCAGTGTCTTAGCTGCCAAGCCAAACGTTGGCCTCACACGCCGCGCTAGACAAGCCCAAGATGCAACTAAAAGGCATCTAGGAAATATACACACACTCACACGTACACACACATACACACACACACTCATGCACAGCACACACTTAAGCTTTTACACCATATGATCTACGAATAACGATATTGTACCAAGTCACGATTTCTGCACAAAACGTACCGTTGCCTTTGCCTCTTTGAAACTGGCTGTGGCTCTCGTTGTTGCTGTTGGACTGAGGGACAGGCTGGACAGGCTGAGGCCTGGCCGTGGTACCTACGGCTTTTGGCCAAGCATCGAAAATAAAAGAACTGCAAGCGAGCGACCAGGCGCTGCCCATATGCGCATATCGCCGCTTTATCTGGAGCTCAGACGATGCGAAAGCTGCGCTGTGTCGTTATTGATGAAGATACGAGCAGAAGCATTCAACTATGAGCCAAAAGATACCGTAAGCCTAGGCAGAGAGGGGCGTAGTGGCAGCGCGAGAGGGGGCGGGCGCTGTTGGCATATCATGTTATATCAATAACCGCAAAAGGGTGGAGCGAGAGAAAGAGAGAGAGAGAGAGAAAGATGCTTAGGCGCAGATGCAGATACAGCCACAGATGCAGCTCTTACAGATGAAGATGCCGTTGTGAAGCTGTGAAGGTGTAAGGCCCAAAAAGTCATTTGGAGTGCATCTATATACTGTCCCACTCCCGCCCGCCTCAGAAGCCCTAGAGCTGATTGGCCCCCAGGCTTTGCTATGGCTTCGAAATGTATCTCATAAGTGCAGACAGTTTAGCTATAAGCCAGGCGCACTTTGCGGTAGTTTCAATTACGCTTGAGCTTAATTGCGAGCCTGCGGCGCGGGAGTGGTAGGGGCAGGTGTGGGTAGCCACTCGCGTGCGCTACGCGCCATAAAGCGTTCAATACAGTTAGACTTCCAAGAACAACAGCTAAGCTCAAGCGTTCGTTCTATTAATTGAACTTCCTGAAATGTGTGCGAAAACAGCACGATATCAACAGCCCACCCCTCTCCCCGTGCCTCACATCTGTAGCGTGACCATGGCCATGGGTGCCCACAGATGCCCCCGCTTCATAAATGAAAGTGCAGGCTTTTGCCGCTTGGCCGCTCCAATTTGAAGCGTGAAATTGGTTAGGGCCACAGCCAACGAGTCCATTTGACTATATATTAATGAGTATATATGAGTGCCACTCTATGAGTATTCTAAGTATCTATTTGCACAGTAGTCAATTGCCAAATCAAGCTTCGGTTTTTTGGCCAATTGCATAGGTTTCGAGCGGTCGGTCAATGCACCGTTGCACAGAAGTGTAACATACAGAGAGTCAATAGCAGCGACCAGACGCCGCCCCATTGTCGGCTCATTTTCTAATTATTAATACATACACACACCAGCACACACACCCGAGCACACACACACACACACACACACTCCCAAAGTACACAGCTAGAGAGCCATCATTAAGTCGCAATAATTAAATGTTAAGCTTACATGTGCAGGCTGCTAGTTCAAGTAATTAGCACAGCGGCTCAAGACTTGAAGGCTAGAGAGGAGCGTCAGCTCGTGACACGATCAAGGCACAGCACAAAGTATAAGTGTGGAAGAATAATGAAATGAAATAATGAGAGTTTGAAGTGCAGAAAGCTTTCTTATAAACCCAATACTTTCTATGCTGGTCAACAGTAAATGGCTTTATCGACTGCCTTCTAGGTGTTCGTTCGCATAGCGCAAACGATTCGACACGCGCTCCTCTCTATTGAAGACTGGCAAACTGATGACTGAGATTGAGCCGGCGGCAAAGCCAAAGCGCTGCAAAAGCTAGACAAAGTATCTGGAGTACAACCGAAACATAATTGCAGACCCAGACACGAACCGCAAAATGTTTTAACTTGCATGCACTTCGAGTATCTACAAAATGCGCTGATTATGAACGCGCTTGAACTTCGCGAGGCGGAAGCTCAGTTCCAATTGCTGCAGTTGCTGTGCAGGTGCCCCCACAGCTGATTACTAGGCAGCAGGTAACAGCAGGCAACGCCATTCGGGGTTGACATTGCTATAAAGCAGCAGGGTTTATAGCTCGATATAGGTCAATGGTAAAGATAGTTGTGGGAATTATCTGAAGCTAAGAGCTGCAACTGCTGCTGCTGCTGTTGCTGCTACTGCGGCAACAATTGCAACAAACCTCGCAACTGTGGCAAATTTTAAGAACTAACCACTTAATGAAAATGTTGCACAGACCGAGACAATTGTAAATTGGATTCAGCTGGTTTCTGGCTGTGAATCGAATGTTGAATAAACTTTTACCTGATTAAGAATCATATTGACTGAGTTCTCTATGAATTGATCCCTGCTCGTGAGAGAGGCGAAAACATGTTAAAAATTTGCATTTGAGTAAAATTTTTGGTGCCACAAAGTTCGCTGTGGGCCACAGATATTTTTGCCGTTGAGTCAACTGCAGAGGGAAACCCGTTTTCTTAGCCCACAATTTGTATATATATTAGGTACGTCTGGGCAACGTCTTGGCCCATATGCCACCATATGCAGAGCAATTCGCACGTTGCAACGCCAACAAGAACAACATCAACATCAACATCAACAACAAAAGGCCGACAGAGTCTTGGCGAAAATAAAGATAAGCGATTTAGCTTTGATTTAACTGATGCTATGTGAAGTTATGCGCAGCTAGAAGTCTCTATGGGAAGTGGCTGGGCCAAAGCCCAGTTCGAGGCCCGCTGCAAGTCCGAGTCATGTAGCTGGGCAACAGCAGCGAGACACATGGCGATAAGAAAGGTTATATTGCAGCGGCGTTGCTACACTATTAAAGAGACTACACCGCGGGGCATGTCGTCATGAGTTAGCGCTAGCTGCAAATGTTGCAAGTGCATATGGAGGATGCCACGAAACGTGCACAGCTGAGGGAAGGGCACGAAAATCAAGTTAAAGCGGGAGAATAGCCGAATATATATTTGTGGTAGGGCCATTCTGCAGCTGATCGATTAGCCAAGTTGGCTGCTAACGAAAATTGCGCATGAAGTGGCAACAACTGTGTCTGCTGCATGTTGCACGTTGCCCCTGGCTGTAGCTTAACATAATTAATTAAACCGTTACATTATAAAGCGGATCAAGTCGCTCGCTAGTTCACGATTTTTTCGGTTGGAACGATGGGGCAGGGGCAAGTTTACGAAATCGCTTCGTGTCAGGATGCATTTTTTGCGCCTCATTTGGCAGAGAGACGAGGCACAGTTGCAAATGCAGTTGCAGTTGCAGTTGCAGTTGCAACTGTGGCAGCAGCTTTATTGGCTTTAACTTGGCTTCTAAGTACAACGATTTGTACTACAAGTCAGCGCTTAATGATTACAATGTCTGGCCTCAGTTGTTGTTGTTGTTGCTGCTGCTGTTGTTGTTGTTGTTGTTGCTGTTGCTGTTTCAGTTGTTTGTTTTGTCTTTTCGAAAATCTGTTTACAATTAAGTTTCGTATTCGACGCGATTTCGCTGTTGCTTTTTAATGAAGGGCTGGCGCTTGTGCCAAATATTTTCCAATACAAAAAAGAAGAGAAGAAAAAAACAGGCCAAACTCTTGCGGCTCATTAATGTTGACAAACAGTTGAGTAATGCTGCAGCTCCCGATTAGAGCACACCAAAAAAAAAACTGTAAATATTGAATTTCTTGCCTTCAGCTACCTCACAATTTCAATGGCCACAACTTGGCAGAGCAGCAGCAAAATAAGAGTTGAAGGAAGACTTTGCCGAGTGGGGAGTGTACGTAAATCATGCCAAATCGCACGGAAGTTATAAATGTTTATCATAAAGCGATTTATATGCACTCATAGCAAATGATATGGGGCTTAATTCAACTGTCCCCTTCGCTCGCCTGAAATGAATGCAAATTTAATACAAGCTTCGGTATTTATGAAGCTTTTCGTTGCTAATTAATAAGTAAAATACGCTTTTTGGTGGCGGGCGTCGCTGCCACGCCCAGCAAGCAGAAAAGGCTGCAACGCCATAAATTGCAGCCACGAAAAACACATCTGAGAAATGCGCTGTGGGCGTTGTTAATTTTTTTGCAATCGTATTTACTTTGTTGCTCTTACTTTTGGCTTTTTGTTTTTTTTTTTTCTTATTTTTGATTTTAGTTTATTTTGGTTTTTGGGGCACCGAGTAGACAGCTAATTGATTTATGTGCGCCTTTTGTTAAAGCTCAGCGACTGAGTTCACCAACTGGAATTTTCATATAATTTATCGAAGGCTCTGCAAGCGCCATTTCGGGCATTTTCCCAGCCCGTTGCGAGGTGAAAAAGTGAAAAGTCATAAATATATTTCGCACAGCAATCAATAATTAAAGGCATAAGAATTTCTTAGACATTATTAAAGAACCAAGCGAAGAATTCTTCAAAAGAAATGTCTACTCAAGCAACTCTAGCAAATTTCGTTGGACTTTTATTGTTTTTCCAAAATTTTTACACTATAAAATTGAAAAAAATATTAAGACTAAAATATTATAACAAAATTTAGTAGCTCTAAGTCAAATTTAACTTCTATATGTAGAAATCGTATTCACTTCTCTGCCAAAAAGTCACATCGAAGCGCAGCAGTGTAAAGGGAAAGAAGAACTTTTTCTTTTTCTTTTCTTTTTCATTGCTAAATGCAATTCACAATTTTTTTTTTGGCATGTGGAAAGAGACTTGCGTTAAATGCTTTATTTGCCTACAGCATAATGAAGTGAATTAAAAAGCCACACATGTTGTTCAGCAAATGTCTTCAAAAGGAAACGCTCAGCCCACAGGCAAAGTCAGCATAAAGAGACGACACACAAATACAAGATACAAGATACAAACGCACAGTGATGACTATGGACAAGCATAAAGCATAAACTGTGACATTGTGAACATCAAGAATTGCTTTTTACTTCAATTTTGTGTTTTGGGTAGTTTTCGACAACGAACGAGCCTCCGCTTGACCACAGACGAATTCTTGAGCTTGGACTGTGCTGCGCTTTAATTGCGGGAACGTGGGAAACTATTTAAATGGACTGACATCAAAAAGTGCCTCCTCCGCTTGGCGCAAAATGTTAATGTGGCCTACAACATTGGGTTGACAAAGTATCCGTGTATCTTTGAGATACATTCGCACAGTGCTCTAATGTAAGCCGTTCGCGCTTAACAATTAGACAAGCGCCAGCTCCCGAGTCTGCGTTGTTATTTCTCTTTTATTATTTACTAGTTTTTCTTTGCATTTTCTTAAAGAGTTTTCTCTGCGCCATGCTTGTTGATGTTTATGTGGCATTTAATTAATTGCACGCCAGCTACTTAGATGTTGCAGTAATTTTTCATAAAATTTATTTGTCATTTTCATGTGGGGCAGCAGATAAATCAACTTAATTAGCTTTTGACATGGGCGCTAAGATAACTTTTCATGCAATAAATAAACGCAGCACAATTTGCAATGCAAAAGGTGTGTACGTGTGCGCAAGGTTCTTGGAAAAACATAGAGAAAAGACTGTGAAAAAGCTCAGGTATTGCCAACTAATAGCCATGACAAATAGCTAAATTAATGGGCGAGCGGGAAGTGCATGGCTTGTGTTGCCGATGTTGCATTAGAGTGAGCCACTCATCATTAATATTATCAGGCGGCTGATATCAGCGCAAATTTTTCAACAGGAGTTCAAACCGTGACTGCTTAGCCAAAAACAAAATAATGAGTGGGCAACTGATACTGCTTAAGGTATGCCGAAATCACCTACCAATTGAAGAAGCAGCTGTGTGCAGAATCAAACAAGTTGGACACACAGCCTGTACGGGTGAGGGGTTAGGGTTCAAGGCACAGATACACACACATAGGCGCACACACATACGCATAAGCTACAATTAATCTCGAGACATGAAGGGGGGTTGCCTTTTGGAATAAATTTCACATATTGCGCCCTGCAACTGGACAGGCAGCGCAGCGAGACAGACAGGCAGACGGGCAGACAGACAAGTGAGACAGCGGCAAGAAAACGAGTTGTGCCAAGTATCTGCAAGTACGTGTAGCTCAGCTTTTGGAAGTGAATCAGCTGAAAGGACGCAAACGGTGCACATTATGGCATTTTGATGCCACGGCCAGGCAGTAATAGAAAGAGAGGGCGCCTGAGTGGAAAAGAGAGCGCACATAACGCATAACTGGCAATGATATGCGTCTAAGCGCTTTACTATTTATTTTCGAAAAAACATTTTTGTAGCGAGTCTTGAGAGACTTGCATAGAACAAAATAGATTGCTATCGTGGCAACATCATCAGCAGCAGTTGGAGCATCAGTAGTTGCTGCTGCCGCTGCTGCTGCCCCCAAAAGATATACAACAACAGCAATAGCAACAGCAGATACATGTATCTGCTAGCTACATGCATGGCAACATGCGGCTGGCAGAAAACACCTTCAGAATGCAGCGAGGCGGTCACTGAGCCACATTTTTTGATTGTTGTTGCTATTCTAGTTGTCTTTGTTGCTGTTACTGTTGCTGTTGGTGTTGTTGCTGCGCATGCGTACAAAACGCTGGGTGATTAATAATAATAAAAGCGCCTACAATGCATTGCCAGCTCAGCCAAATGAACAGTGGTTTCAGCTATGCAATGTATCTGTGAGATACTTTTCATCATGAGTACAGCTAAAGACAGTTGACGGCTTGATAAATGTATTTTGTAGTGGAAATAAAAGCTTAATTTATATATTGATTTGCTGAGAGTTGGCATGAATTATTTCAAAATATATTTTTAATTATTTTTAACTTTCCTTATTGACATTTAAATTAGATAATACGAAGATACTTCAGAAGTATATTGCAAAATAAATATATAAAGACAAAAAATGTTTATAAATCTCTATAAAAATCATAATTAACCAAGATCAATATCAAAACGAATTTAATTAAAGTGTTCTAAGCTCTTAGCACTTCTGCTACATTTTCTATAGCAGCAACCACTGTGCGCATAGATACACTCTGCAGCTGTAATTTCTCTCTGACTAAAAGCAGAACATTTGAAGAGATACGAATATGACAAGTTCAACTTGGCCGCTGTACTAAATGCCAGCGCTGCGTGCAGCGTTAATCTAAACTCATGAGTGCAGTTTTTTGCCCCGCAGCTCAAGTACCTACACCCTAACGCAGACCGCTCCCGCTGCTCACTCTGCGCTGCCACTGCCAACTGGCATCTCGACCAGGTCTAAGACAATAAAAAGGTGGGCGCTTCATTTAGCGGCCACAGCCGCCACAATTTGCATGTTTGCACAACAATTGTTTGGCTTGCTACAAAAGCGCGCACCGTATTTTATTTAGATAATAATAATTTTTTTCACTCGGTTTTTGCTGTTATTTTATTTTTTATCTGGCGATAAGCGAGTCGAGTCGCGTTGAGATGCGTGCGCGGGATCGCGGCGCATTTGGTCTGCTGTAACAGCGTTTTGACCAGCCCAAAGTATCTGAGAAGCGCGCCGTCTTACATAATGCGCGACTCAAGAGGCGGCTGCTTTTTCGAGACATTTTCTGCGAAAAATTTCATATGCAAACGTAGCTGAGATTGGAAAACGCTCCCAAGAGATATGAGATGAGTGTTACAGTGAAGAGTAGATATCTTCAATATAAATTACACAAAATATTCTTTATCTAACTGTTAATTATAAAAGCTATAAAAATCCGCAGCTGGTAACTAATCTTTGATTTTTGATGCTGCAGCAAAAGTATCTTTTAATCATTGAACTAGTGTAAATGTCAATGTATCTAATATCTTCAATCTTTTGACTAAAATGAAGAGCAATATTTAAAAGTGTAAACTGAATATTCATTGTACTGTAGTAGCTGGCTAAGTCTGATAAGTGACTCTATTGAGCTATAAAGATATTTATGTATCCAATGAATTATTGAGAAGATACAAAACAATCTTTAATGGACTCCTGCAATATATGTAATGCTTAGAGCTTTGAGTCAGACTTGAAGCAAGTAGATTAAGTGAAAAGATACAAATGTATCTGCAGCTGAGTTGTATACGAAACTCATCCATGTAAAACACAGTTTGAGATACAAAAGTATCTCAGGCCAACTTGGTTAAGTTGGTACAGTGCTTACTAGCTAAATCAAATTGGAGATTTCCTACGAGCCCCGTTAGCCAGGTGTCCACTGTTTGTATTTTTGTAAACAGTTAGCAAAGTAACTCAAACTGCTGTCATTCATCGGGCCGCGCTCTCTGCACGCCCACCTTAGACAACTTGCCATACATCACCGAATTTTATTGCCAACTCATCAAACTGCCATAATTCACAGTAACTGTCAAGATCAGCACGCTTTTGAGTAGTTTGCGAGTGTTGCCAGCTTAACTATTCGAAGTCCAAACAATTCTGTTTGGTCATCATCGCTGCAGATCCACTCGGTGTTATGCAAAGCTATGAGGTTGGCGAAGTCACAATTGAAATCAACTGTCGACTAGCAGTCAATGACTATCTAACGATTACAATTAACCCCCTTCCGCCCCTGGTGCAGCCGGCTGGTGCTGGTACTCACCTTCACAGGTAAATTGTCCGTAGTGCTTGCCGGAGCTCTTGTCGCCGCAGACGACGCACTCGATGTTCGGTTTGGTATCGATTTGGGAGCCGCTGTTGCTGCTCTGTGAGTGGGAGCTGTTGGCCTGGGAGCTGGGCGTGATGCTGCCGCCGTTGTTGACGCCTGCCGAACTGCCCAAGCAGCTGGCCGACTGTGAGCCCTTGATGACGGGCAGCAGGTCCACTGAGCCATGGCCGGATTGGCCGCCGCTTGTGTGATGGCCGGATGTGGAGCCACTGCCATTGGCGCTGGGCAAACTGGAGAGATCCTCCTTGATGACATGATGCGCGCTTTGGTTGAGGTTCGCCGTGGAGGCGGTCAAGCCGGACAGATCCTGCTTGATGCCCGACGACTGCTGGCTGGCCACGCTGCTGGGCGTGGTGCCACCGCCATTGCCGCCAGCACTTGTGTTGGTGCCCGCCAGCGAGCCGGGTCCGGCCGAGGCGTGCAGATGGCCACTCAAATTGGGATCATGCCATGCACTGTGCGGCGGCACGCCCAGCGTCATGGAGCGCGACAGCCCCAGATCGAAGGGCGACAGCTCGGCGCCGGTCTGCGGCCGCGGATTGAAGAAGCCGGGAGCCGTGGACGGTGAGGCGCACATGACGCCGCCACCGTACACGCTCAGAGAATTGTGCGTAATAATTTTGGCGGCTGGATCGGAACACGTGGAATAACCGCTGGAATACACTTTGCACGGACTTTCCACGCGCTAAACGCAGCAAAGTCACCAAAAGAACTTCTCTAGCTAAACTGCTTTAAATATTTTTCTAAATATTTATCTCACACTTTTTGGGCAAAGTATTTGCTGGGTATATAATTTTGTTTAAAAATTTATTTTTAATACAATTTGTTGTTATTTATTTTATTTTTGATCTGCACATTTTACACAACACATTTTCTGTGGTTTTTGAATTTATAATTTTATATTCAATATTTTGAAAATATTTTTTTTTATTTCAAAAATTTATTTCGTTGCACGCACACGATTTAAAACTTTTGCGACTCGATAAAAATTTTTATTTTTATTTTTATATATCTTTAATTTGTTTGCTCGCCTTTGCGCTGCACTTTGATTTTCTTGTATATATATATACATATATATTTATTTTTAATTGTAATATATTTGAAAGAAAATTCAAAAATTTTTTCTATCTTGTGGAAAATGCGCGTCGTGCGAGCAGCGAAATCTCAGCTGTTCTCGTAAGGCCTTTTAGAGCCTGACTGGCAAAACATTCGTGGCAAAAGGTACACGACCCGACCCGACTCGACCGTTTCGACCTAACGACACATCACACAAATCTCTCTCATTCCACCACAGATACAGCGATATACAGCTACAGCAACTGCACCCCGGCGACTGTGTCTGCTCTATTGCTGCACTGTTCGCTCTCATAGCGACCCAATGGTCTGTCCGCAATTGAGTGAAAATCTTCGCTCGCACTCGCACTAGTACTCGCGGTCGGCAAGAGCGAGCACTCTGCTCTCTCTGGTGGCGGGGCAAGACCTTCGATGCGTTTGGCTGATTTGCTCAGCGGACTCACAACCACCACCACCAGCACAGCCATCAGCATGAATACCACTACCACGACCACTACCACCACCACCACCACTACCACTACCACCACCAACAGTCGCACTACTACCACAAAAACAGCTCACTCACTTTCCGTCTTTGAGTCTCTCACTCTCTGTGAGTGTAATTTTTGGCCGGCTCTCGCGCTCACTGCATTTGTTGGGCGTCCAACAAGAACTTGTTTCTGTTAGCATTTTCTTATTAGTTTTTTAGTTGGCGCATCTGTTAGTTGCCTTACCGTTAAGTTTCTTATCTATTTCAACCGAAAACTACTTTTTCTACCAAAAAAAAGTAACTTTAAAATGAGCTCCACCTACCCGAAAAAACGAATGTATGTATATATATACGTACACAGAAATTTTGAGTTTTCTGGTTGGCTGATTAAAGTGCGTTGTGCTCCACATTTTGTCGTTTGCTTATCTTTACTCAGTCTTAAAGTAATGGCCGATCTTTGAGATATATAGGCGTTTATATAAATATATATATTAAAGCTGCCATTGGTTGTGCCCGGAGATAAGCCAAGCAAACTTTTGAAGCTGCGTGACTCAATTAGAGATTTGAATAGTTAGGAGCTGCTATTTAAAGTAACATTGAGAATTTATTTGAATAAAAAGATAGTTTCCACAATTTCCTTTCCAATATGCTCCACTTGAATTGCGCCCTATTTACAGTTACTTGGGGGAAGCCCATTGACTGCTTGAGTCTTAATAAAATTAGAATAATACTCGATGCTAATTGGATAAGGCGTGTGCTCTGGTTGGACTCCAGTTACGTGTCGCGACACGCAATTGGATACACTTGAAAAGTGCCAAAACATGAAATCATATTTTAATTTGATTTTAACGAGAGGCCGTAGGCGATGCCACATGAGGCACCTGCCCCGCCCCCAACAGGCGTTGCACAATTAGAGACGCCAGCATAAATTGTTTTCCATAACATTGTGAAATTAACATTTTGCAGCGATTTGCACGCAAAGAGCGTAGAAATTGAAAAAGATTTAAATTCCGAAGAGGCCTAAACAATTTTTAGGCACGCGAGCAGCGGCTCATGGAGCGAGGGGGCAGTGGGGCCAGCAACTTAGAAGCTGCAAGTGCAGCGAATATATTGAAAAAAACTAAGAGTCTCGACCCAGTTGAGGGGCAAATGCAGTGTGCCACCCCTAACCCGTTGCATACCTTGCAGTTGGGGTTGGGCATGCGGAGCAAATGTACAATTGGATGATCAGCGAACTGAAGTGGTGCAAGAGCTGGGTAAGGGGCAGGCGGTCGTAGGCAGCTACTAATAAGTCGAGTGCCAATTCGAAGTGCTTGCTGTGTTTCCAATAAGCACACTCAATCACACTCACTCAATGTTTCGTCAAGTTTCGTTCAGTGTTACTCACAAACACACACATTAACTCACTCACTAGCGCGCGCTCTCCACTCAATGCCTGGCAACGCCCTCGTTAGTCTTGCGTCTCGCTCTCACTGGCAAGCAGCTGTCTCGCTTGCACGCAACTGGCTTATCATTAACTGTATCGGAATTCGTTTTTGTTGGCGCTCTTTAAAAATAAAACAAAAAAACCAAAGAAGAATAAGACAGAATAAAAAAGGAGAGCAGTGCCAAGTGGCAGCAGCTAGAAATGTTGAGTTTGCTTTTTATTAACACCGCTAGATGTCTCTCTCTGGCGCCCATTAAAGTCTAATTCAATTGGGTTTCAGTGGCGGCTGCCAAATGTGGGGTAAGGCGGTAGCTCGGCAAATCCTGCAGATGGTTTTTTATATATTCTGTTTTTTTTTTTGCATGGTAAGCGTCCTGCCTTTGAACCTAATCTCGTGGTTCTCGGCACCTCTTGTTAGTGCCTCGTATGTTACTCGTGTGGCAGCTGGCCCCCCCTTCCCCCTTACCCCATTTTTGCTTGCTGCTCCTTGGGCAATGCATTGTTGTGGTCGTGGCTCTGCGCAGAGTTCGCGCAGCCAGGCAGCACCTCCACCCTTTTGGGTTAAATACTGACAACCCCATTTGAGCGCCTCTTTGCACTCGCTGCCTACTGCTCGCTGCCCTCTGCTGCCACCAGCTTGTTGCACCTAACCCACAACTTTTGCCATCATGTTGGCAACTGGCCAGTTCCATTATTCTGTTTTTTTTTTCAATCTTTTTTCTGCGTCCTGCTCGCCAGCACTACGCTGCGCAGTTCATTGAAAGTAGGTGCCTTCCCGTTAAATGTTCTCTTTAAGCACAAAGGGGGGAAAGACACAAATCAGAGGCTTTGCTGGGCACAGTGGAGCCTCGCGCTGAATTAAATGAAGCTCTTTACTCTGCTTTCTTTTCTTACTTTTCCTTATATAAAATCATTATATATATTTATAGATATGTTGATTTATTGTTAATAATAAAGAAAACTTTCAAACAGTTTCTAATTTTCTGAAAATATTGTTTAAAATATATTTTAAATAAAATCAAGCGAATATATCATAAAACTAGAAAAATATTCCATAATATTTTATTGTTTTTCTATCTTAGATTTGAAATAGCTTTTGCGAAATATTTTAATTGTTAATAATATAAAACTTAACATAAAATTATATTAGCTAAAAGCTAAGATTAACAAATGTCGATTAGATAAAAAATATTATTTTAATATTAAAAAAATAAATAGTTATTTTAAAAGTTTTGAATGTTGTTCAAAAATAAGAGTTTCTTAATATTTGAATGACTCATAATATATTTAATATATTTTAATTTCAAATACTATTTACAGTTATGAAACTTTAACTAAGTCTTCTATAGTTCGGTCGCAAATGATTTTCATACCAAGGTGAATAATTCAATTGGGTAAATGAATGTAAAATAGTTAGTCAGGCTGGCATGCATAGAGAACAAGGAGTAAGCTTATGTATAGAAAGACTTATTTTTCCTTATATAAAGTATTTTTGGACACTGACTACTATATGTATATAGACACATGGCACAAATTTCTAAACTCCTAAAGTTTCACTTGTTTTTAGAACTTTTCATGTTTGCATTTAGTTCTGCTGCGAGAAACGTTGGAAATATATGCGCCAAGGACTCCAGCAGGAAATGCACTTATATAACTCATATATGCAGCACACACCCGCACAGACACATACATACTCACATATATATATAGATATATATATATATAGATACACAGATACATGTAGCTTTCAGACAAAGGCAAACTTGGATTACAGCAGCCAACTGGCATATAATTTACATTGTTGCTTGTTTCCCTTTTGCCACGCCCTCTGCCCCGCCCACTGCCTTCGCCGCAAACTTTTACATTGATAAATTTTTAGTAATTCCTCTTTTCGCGTCGCTTTTGCTTGGCTTTTTTTGTTGTTTTTTTCCTTTCTCCGTTCTCTGTTTTGTCTTGTTTGCCACGTTTTGGGGCAAGTTGTGGGTGCGCGAGGACTTTATGAATAAGTGCTGAAATGCCAGAGTCCAGGACCGCAATGGACCGGGCCATGTCATCCTGGTTAAACTGACGAGCAGAAGCATGCCATCTGCAAGGCCCCACCCAGCGCCTGCTTTTGTTGCCTTCCCTGTTGCTGCTCAGCCTGATGATTCATTGTGGCAAGTGGATCCACAGCCGCCGCCATAGCCAAATGAACAATATCTACTCGCTCCCACCCACACATACATACACACCACATTGGAAGCTGGAGAGTTTGGAGTTTGTTGTCAACTCAAAAAACTTGATGTCTGCGCATCCTGTTGATGGATTCCTTTCCCCATTTTTTTCCTTGTGAGCGGTGTTAGAATTTACATAATTTTTGAAGTCGCTTGAGCTCTTGGAATTGTCATAGAATTATCATTCACATAAAAAGATAAATCTGTTATGTAGACGGATACAAAATAAAGGACGATACTAGAATCACAACTTTACTCAATGAATTGGGAAAATTGTGTTCGGACTAGTTCTTGAGTTCTTTTATGTAAATATGCAAAGATACAAAGCTAATATTGAATAAAATTCATTGACCTTTGAGCTATAGATATATGCAAAACTGGCTGTTTCAATGGATAGAAATATTGTTATTAGATACACCGGCAAAGTATAAGAATTTTTGAGTTTTTGTTTTTGAAATACTTCACTCATATATAAGATACATAACTGATGTGCATTTATATGATTGCTTTAATATTCATGCAAATGGTTCGATAATGAACTCAAAAGCAGACCAATAACATTTGCCTGGCCATTTCATTATGGAAGTCATTCGCTCGTTGAATGCATTAAACCCAATCAAATGCTGCACATGCAAGCGGACAGG